AACACCCCCACCCCAATACTTGATCACAAATTAACCAAAAATCCCGCACCACCATATCCAAACATCATTCTCGCTGTACCGAAAACCTAGATCGAACGTACTGCAAATAAAAAAACCACCGATAAAAAACCTTCAACAAACCACACCACGACAACCGTCGTTACCACCACCACCAATGTTAGCACTACCAGAACCAATCCCATACCAACCAAACATCATGCCACCTCACCGTCACCGTCGCCAACATCACCACCTCTATTTTGTGATAGTCACAAGCACCAACACCACTACCACTACCTCTACAATCAAACCACCGCCTCACCACCAATACCATGAAAACACCTCAAAAACCACAACAAACCACCACTCTGATCATCACTGCAACTATGACACCCAAATTGATTAATTTATGACCTATAAATGATACGTGACCTAAAAAATATGATCGTGACTCATAATTTATTAAGCTATAATCGAAAAATAACTTGTGACAAATTAATTTGATAATTTGTGACTATTGACTTTTAAAAATTTTATTTGTGATCGATAAATAAATTGTGATTTATAAAGAAATTTATTCTAAAAAAAAAACTATGATCAAATTGTATAGAATTGTGATATTAATATATTTAATTAATAAAATATATTTCTAATTAATTATTTCATAAATAAAATTTAATTAATATCTATTTTTAAAATTTTAAACTTTGTTTTCTAAATATGAAATGGGTCATATTTAATCTCTCAAGCATGAAATTTTTCCTTATATAAATCATATGAACTCCTAGACTAACGGTTTTCTTTCATATTCAGTCACTGTCTGGTGGAGACTATAATTAAATTTTTAGTAAATTTTGATAAAAATTAATGAAATATGAGATTGTAAATTGTAAATTCGATTAAATATATGATTAAAACTAATTGTTGACTTTGATTTAAATTAAAATCTAAATTTTAACCTTTTGAAACATGAGTTTAATTTTAGGCCTTTTTTTAACTTATTTTTTATTTTTTTTTTTAAATTTTTTGTTGTTTTGTAACAAAATATGCTAAATAGTGTGTTACATTTTAGTGAAATTGTGTAATACACATTTTATTGCTTATTTTCATCATCACCATGATCCCCCCTGTCACCCAATTTCACTACCACAATCAGTACCATCAATGCCAACACTACCAAAGGTGAATTTAGTCTTGGGTTATAGCCCAATCCAGTCATGCCCAAAATTGTCAAAGTCGACCATATACCATGTCTGACACAAGAAAGGTTTCAATTGTGTGGTCACTTGTCAAGGAATACATTCACACTTCGATTCTTGAGGTTTGCTTGAACAAAAGAATGACTCGTTTATCAAAATTTGTCTGGATCAAATGAATGTGTAGGACTTATTACTTGAACATAATACATGATTAAAGGCCTTGGATAATCTCGAATATGGACAAAACTCATCTCAACGCAAAATCTGACAAATCAAACTTAGTGTAAGGCATTTTACACTTGCATGAAAATAGAGCGTTCATGGACAAATATCATAAACCATAAATACCAACAAGCTTTAGAAATGAGAACTTAATCATGAACTTCAATAAAATAATAAAAAATGTTAAGTCAAAAAGATTAAAATGCCCTCATTAATTTTCTACAAGTAGACCATTGCACAATGAAAACTGACAATTCTAACACCCAGTTTTTGAATGGGTAACACTCTTGTGAAATTAAGAGTCAAACTAAGCTATTGATTTTTTTTTTTTTTTTAAAAATTATCTCTTTTTGAGGTCAAAGTTTGACCTCATCCGTGAAAATCCATAACAAAACCACAAAAGGAAAACACAAGGGACGAAAAAGAAAAGCCAAATAAAACGAAGGGGTTATTAAACAAATCTTTTAATAAAAATTTTAAAAGATATTTACATAACTTGTATGTTCCATTAAATGTGTTGCTAAAAATGAAGTTTGACTGATTGAAAAGTTGATAAAATTTAACTAATTATGTCAAACAAGCACCAACTATAACATAAGAACAAAGTTATAAGTTACATAAAATAATTACGTGAAGGGACAAGCAGTGTTATTTGGGTATTACAAAGCTCGACCACCTAGGAGTGGTTCCCCGACCAATTTCGCCTTGGTCATCATCAGGTGCGATTGGGTATTGATATTTACCAAAAATTGTACATATTGATTTTTTGAGCTTGATTACTAAGGATGAACACAAATGAGATCTTTTGATACTTGAAACAGAGGAAACGAGGTGTATCATTGTCACTCCTTCGATGCTTAAGTTAGAAAGAGAATTTGTGCTTGGGGTTATGAATTGAAAATTATATAAAAACGTACCTGAATAATTAGTTGAGGCTCCACATCTATCGAGATAGGTAGTGCCCTCGAAATGAAACTGAACTAGTTGAATATCCTTATCTTAAAGAGTGTTACTTGAGAGGGACATAATTTAGATGTAATATAGTTGAAATAGAGTTCCCCTAGGCGTAGTAGTCACGGGTTGAGGTGTTTTGGTCAGATTAGAGTCCTTAGAGTATATGACTCCTTTTCGGTTTAGGCGAGAAGTGTTCAAAATTAAGCAATGGAAACTGTTTGATGACTCGCGTTCCTTGGGTGTCAAAAAGCTTATCACGAGGACTCTGCCAACCAAATCTCGTGGGAGGCGTGCTATTCCTCGAGCATTTTCCTGAGGACCCCTTTATACTCGAGGACTCCATGGCTCATACATGATGACTCGGTGCACATGAGTCTTCGGGGGTGTTATTATCCTCGGGAGTGTCAGTAGTGTCCACATAGGTATGATTTATACTTTTGCTCTTTTCCTTCAATTGGTTGTGTGGGCACTTGAGTTAGGTGATAGTTAAAGTTTGCTAAATCACTTATTGTTGAAATATGGTTTAGTGCTTGGTTGATAAAAAAAATTGCTTAAATTTTATCAATTTTTTAAATGGTCAAAACTTCAATTTTAATCGTACATTATTGGGCTCGACAATTCATTGACAATGATAATTGTTGACCATTTTTTTTACATGGTCAACACATTTTAGGTTCTTTTGTGTTCACGTAAGCCTTTTATTCTGTACACGTGGATAAATTGTAAGTCACTCTTCTCCAGTGATGGGAGAGGCAGCTGCATGCACTCCGATGATCATGTTAGTTAATGTATAGGTGAAGAGGGGTGTGTGATGTGTTAGAAATATGAGCTACTATGTGTTGACGTATCAGATTCAAGTTAATATACAGAGAGAGCAAGTTTATAGTTTATTCAAAATATGCCATCATTTATTGCCTTCTAAATTCATTTGAAGTGAAATGGATAAATCAAATCAAATCAAATCTTAGAGTTCGTTTGATTGTAAAGATGAAATTTAGATGGAAAGAAAATGAATTTTAGAGAATTGAATTGTCTAGAAATTATTTTCTTGAGAATTATAAATTATTGTGTTTGATTGGTATAATTTTTCACGTGAAAAATGTTGAAATAAAAGTATTTTTTGGTGTTCGTTTGATTTTGTTTTACATAAAGTCAATTAAAGTGATATATTTTATTGTTATTGGGGATGAAATTTGTTTCCATTGCCAAAAAAAAAAATCTAAAAAATCATCTATCTTTTGGTATTCATTTGACTTTGTTTTACATGGAAATTGCTAATTAAAGGGAAATTCTTTTTACAATAATTCTTATAATTTGTTTCCATTGCCAATAAAAAAAAAAAGTTAAAAAAATTGTCTAGAATTCAAATTCTTACCAAACCCATAAGACTTGGAATTCCATGAAGACAAGAAAAATGGCGCGTGGGCTGGAAACAAGGAATACCGATTCCATGGTAAATATGTGCCATCAAACAATGATAAAGCTAGAAAGTGGACTTTCCATGAAATTCATGGCCAATCAAACAGGCCCTTATATATTAAAGTAATAGTATATACCAAACATAGACAAAGTACGCAATTTAATACGTAAGAAAAACTCTAAAAAAAAGGAAAGGAAAGGAAAAAAACAAAGTATTATATATATACATAATAATATACACAAGAATGGAGCTAACGCAGCTAAGATTGTAGAGTTAAGTACAAAAAAAGGTACAAAATCTACATTTAAAATAAACACAAAAATCCCAAAATTTAAAACCCAAAACACATTTATATTTTTGATCAGAAAATAATGATCCGTCAATTTAGCAAAAGAAAATGAAAAGGCAAATTCACTGTCACTAAATTTTTTTCGATATCCTGTTTTTTCTTCGAACTTCAAAGCATATAAGTTTCTCTTCCCATAACTTTTTGTATATTCTACAAAGTTTAAACTTCAAAACTTTTTCCTCGTTTTTCTTATTTTGCAGTTTAGAATGAGCAAAAAGAAAAGAGTACAACGAATGCCTTGGAACTGGAAAGTTGGAGAGGGGAAAATTGATGGTACAAATACTGAAAATTTTTATCGTTGCCATGATAGTGTTAACATTTTGAAGTACAAATTTTTAATTGTAAGGACAAAATCATATAACTTAAAATTTATTCAATTTGTTGACCAAAAATTTGAAATTTTGTGGGGGGCAGCTTACCCCACAGTAGATCCGCCCATGTATATACAATATTATAGAAAAGTAGTTCAGTTCGATAACTCTAATCGAATAATTACGTAGGCAATGACGTAAATTAAGTTGGAATTTCATACACAATGACGTATACTACACTACATATATTGATTTTGTCTAGAGAAAATTGTTGACAAAAGTTGTTTG